CAGAGGTGCACATTATGCCACTGTACAATGTAACACCCACTTTTCACTATTTATGTTATGAGTCCCATGTAATAGGGGGTGAGCCTATTGCCATATACCGGGCACAATTCCAGACTCCGTGGTTCTACTGAGAATTTTTACAAAACCCAGTAATACTATGCCTGACCAGGGAATCGAACCCGAGACCCCTTGCCCGGCAGTCACACTTGCGACCACTCGGCCAACGAGGCATTTTTTGTCAATATTATATACAATTATACATATATTATTTATGTATACAAATAGTGTGTGTGTATAACTTATCTGATTTGTAAGGAAGAAACACACTATTAATTTTTTTTAATGTTTGAGATACTCTTTAGGTATGTATAGTTTATTTAAAAAATCGATTTCATTAACCAATCCGACTGTTTAGTAGGTACTGCCGTAACAATATTTGTTTTATATTGAAATCATTGTTTTATTAAAATAATGTGAAATTGTCGGGAAGAGTAAAAGTTGTGCACACCTGCTTCAATTAACCTATTTTATCTAATGTAGAAGTGAATTTAATTTAGTTGGAAACAAGCCCATTAGGTCCGAAACCTCTTGCTCAGAATTTCCGCCCGTACAAATATAAAATGTATTAAAATTCCGACTCGAAATTGAAACTAAAACAATAATACGATTTTGTACAAACTTATATACAATAGACGTAGCAATGTAGTAAAACTTTACCTTGCATTGCAGAGGAAACATTATGCTGCCAACCACTAAAGGAAACACGATATTTTAATAGTACCTACCTAGATAGTACATATTTCTTTTTAAGTTGACATTCCATATTAAAATTGTAAAATTCTGTTTTAGTTTTGGCTTTTAACTTACCCACTTTACCATTCCCATTAGAATAATAAAAATTATAATATTTTCAAGAGCTTAGTATTTAAATAATTATCTATTGTAATGTCGGGGCCGATTTCGGCGAGAGATATATATTTTTCACATATAAAAATTACCAGATTTAAATACCTACAAACATTATAATAATGTAGTTATTAAAAAGATAAACTATGTATACTTAAATGAGATGAAGTAAATATCAGTTTGTTATGCAAGTTTTCTGTTTACTTAATAGTTAACTTAATAGTTTTTTTAAACTTAATTGTTAGTCAGAATTTTTAGATGATTCCACTCGCATGTCGCTCTATCGCGTAAAAAGGCATTTTTATTTAGGCCCGGCGGCATTTGACAATGCAATGCACTTCTGAAAACAAAACACTCGTCTGCGCGAATGTAAAAAAAAATCTCGTTGAATTTATTACAACCAAAAGTTATAACAAAACATTTTAGAGTAACTTACTTGGCACAAGGACATTGAAAAAAAGGCGGACACAGTCTCTTGATATAACGACTGCAGCACCTGGTTACTATAGACTTACACGCAGAACATGCACACATTGACACAAAGGACATTTGTCATTCTCTTAAGTCCGGTCACGTGGTAACTCATTACACACGCACACATAAATAACCCACTGACATTTTGCTGCTTCAATCATTTGTAAGTGACATTATGTTCGCGTAACAAAAAATATTCAGTAACTAGAGTCCATAAATGGCTTAATAGGATGAAATGCATCCACTTTGATGCTGTCATGGGACCTGGATTAGATTACATCCAAGGACTTTACCTCGAGTGATTCAGTTGGCCACTCACTACAGTAATATCAACTCCGACTAGCAACTTCATTAACCTAGGCCGTACTCTCCATTTGAAACTACTTTGAAACAAGCAAATTGCCTGAATAGACACACAGATACATGTATTGTTTGACTTTCAAATGCTTTTCTATTTTGATATCAGTCTACAAACTGCCTCATTACCAGGCAAAAGTCTCTTCTCGTACAAAAAAGGTATGAGCTAACGATACTACAATTTCAAACGTATAAATGTTATTTTTAATTTTCAGGTACCTATTCATTTAGATATTTTGTAGGGATATCGGGACAACTTTCAATTACAGAGGTTTGAATTTAAGCGTCGACGAGTATGTCATAAGTAATTTTACTAAATGACTGATGACTAGACAATCGTATTGGAATGTATCTGTAATGGTAGTTGTTAGTGCATTAAATAAATAAATATTTGCTTACTACTTTTTCCTTGTAGCAAAAATTACGCAAGATCAGGGTTTGTGACCAATTTACAACAACTATTACCATTTTACATTAATTTCCAATACATGTGACGAATTTACTATGAGGCTAAGGACTCAAGCCCCGAGGCGGGCGCTGGAGGAAATGACATCGTGAGTCTTTAGGCTGAATGTTTAATTTTATTTTATTGTAATTCTATTTCAGTGTCATTTATAAAGTGCTTGATGTGTAATTTGTTCCTATGGATTCATGGGCCTAAAATAAAGGATTTATTATTAAGTCTTTACCATTCACGGTACCACCGAGTCCCGGTCATTTGGGAGGCGTACGAGGGGCCGAAGTATACTGCACAGAGGCCTTTTAGACAACTTTAATCTAAATGTAATGTATGTACACACAAACCGGCGACTATCCCTGTCTGCACGTCGCGGAGAACCTAACGGGTAACCGGGGCTCCGGCTCGACGTGCAGGAGAAGGAACGCGGTGGTTTTTAGTCAGTAAGAATCTGACACTCCCTCCCGCCTCACCCAGGCGGGAGCAGTCATTCAATGATTTTCCCCCTTAAAAAAAAATCCCTGTCTGCACTATGGAAATGTACCCAAGGTTAGTGTAGGACTATTGTGGATAATGAAAAAAATAAAGGTAGGGATTTGGATGGATTGCTGTGGACTGGTAAATTGGAAACTATGAATGACTATGGACATCTGCCGAAACAATGTAATTGTTACACGTAAAAATGGCAGGCGGAGACTCGCCAACTCACCGACCGGGCCCCGGGAATGATTGCTAGATATAGCAACAGAGGGACAACGAGAATGTGAGTGGCTGAAGGGTTAAGAAACTACCACCGCTTTCTATTCAGATTATCTGCTCCAGCCGAAGTCTCCTGCGTTCCTGGCCCACTCGCGACTTACGAATAGTTTCTTACCCTCCGAGCAGGATCACTGCTCTCGCGACTCCACTCTGGACGGCCAATGAAGGCAAGCCAGAGGTGGAAGACCTGTTCCTCATCATCGTTTACTCCAGCTAGCCAATTAAGACAAGCCGGAGAGTAAGGAACGGTGACTTCTCCATGGAGCACTCGGGATGATGGTAGCCCGCGGGGTCGCTCAAGGTGCCCTGCGGGCTTATTATTATCATATATTTATTTAAAATTTCTATAAATTACATTTTTAAATACTACTTACAAAATAAAAAGTAATAATATTTAAAAATATAAAAAATAGGAGCCGACCATAAGCGGGAGCATGGTCCAAGCTACCGGTGGTTAGGGCTCCAGAGACAGAAACCTCCTCACGATACGTGCCGTTTCTAGGAGAACTGCCTT